AGGCACCCACCCACTGCCCAGGGGGCTGCGGAGGCATTGGGTGCTGAGCTGGGGGCAGCAGGGTCGTGTTCCCCCCCGCTGAGCGCCCTGGGTTGTTGCAGGGTGCTCGTGCCGTCCCGCTTCGAGGGGTCCCCATGAGCCCAGCCGAGCCTCAGTTTCCCCTTTCTCACCCCAGCGCTCTGCCAGGGGGCTGCGGGGGCTTGCTGGGGGCCCCGGGCGCCGCAACGTGGCACCCCAGCCCCTCTGCGTGGGTCTATACGGGACCCCACCCACACGCGAGGGGCTGTGTGGGACCCAGCCCATGTCTGTGGGGCCATAGGGGACCCGACCCCTGGGCGCGGGACGCGGCAGGACTGGCCGGCGTGCGTGGGCACGGGTGGGCCGGGGCGGGATGCCACGTCCCTGGTGGGAAGCTGCTGGGGCTCTGCCGTCACCTGACATCGGTTCCCATCCCAGATGGCGGCAGGGCAGGGCACCGCTTCCCTGGGGACCCCGGCCCTGGGACCTCCTGGCCCGTGGGGAGCCGGTTACACGGGCAGGGGTTGCGGGAACGGCCCTGGTGTCCAGCTCCAGCCCCGTCCCAGGGGACAAACCCCACGTCCCCAGGGGCACCGAGCGCTGCCCTCGCCTCTCCTAACGTTTTCTCTCCCTTTCCCCCCGCGCCCACCCCAACGCCACAGAGCACCGGGTTATGGTGCCGCCGGGCTGATTGCCGGGACACAGCGAGGCAGCGGTGGGGGCCGAGCCCGGAGCCATGGAGGGGCCCGGCCAGGTAGGGTGACCCGGCCCCGAGCCCTGGCTCTGCCGCTGCGCCCTGGCCGGCTCCCACCCCCGGCACAGCCCCGGCAAGGCGCTGGGGGTGCTGGTCCCCGCTGAACCCCCTTCTCTCTGTCCCACAGGAGGCCTACGAGGAGAGGATGAGGAGGACCCTGGACCCTGAAGGCTACGAAGACCCCGGCATAAAGAGCTCCAGCCTATCTCTGGGGGAGATGAGCAGTGAGTGGCTTCCCCGGGTGCCGGGGGACGGCGGGCACACAGGCACCAGCGTTGCATGGGGGATGGCATTGCGTGGGCGCCAATGTCGTACGGGTGCCAGCGTTGCAGAGGTGATGGTGTTGCATGGGTGATGGCGTTGCATAGGTGATGGCATTGCATGAGCGATGGTGCCGCATGGGCACCGGCGCAGCAACCGGCACCGGGTGGGTGCCAGCACTGCAGGGGCACCAGCGGTTCAAGGGTGCATGTTGCATGGGCGCCAGAGTTTTGTGGGTGCCAACTCTGCATGGGTACCAGCATGGCACAGGTGTGTTGCACGGGCACCAGCACTGCATGGGTGCCAGCGTTGTATAGGTGCCAGCATTGCATGGGTGCCAGCGTTGCATCAGCACCACATTGCATGGGTGCCAGCATGGCACAGACGTGTTGCATGGGCACTAGCGTTGCACAGATGTGTTGCATGAGTGCCAGTGCTGCCTGGGCACCAGCATCACATGGGTGCCAGCATTGCAGGGGTGCCAGCATTGCACGGGCAGCGGGGCTCGCCCGGAGCCTGGGCTGGCCAGGCAGGGACACGCAGCCCTTGGGGTCGCATCACCCAAAGGCAGCGCCGCCCTTTGCCGAAGCCCTGGAGCCAGTGAGGTGCCACCTCCAGCACGAGGGCTGCGGGTGCCCAAGAGGGGGCTGAGCTCGGGGACACTCGGGGTCCTTGAGGCCGTGACCGAGAGCCCCAGGGAAGGGAGGCGAGGGGAGTTTGAGGGGTCTATGTGCCCCAGAGCATCTGCTTGCCCAAAGCTTGGTTGATTCGGAGCTGCCACCCTGAGGGGGTTCCTGGGCCACACCGGCTCCTGGCATGGCTCCCTCGGGTCCCCATTCGGGGTGACACAGGTCAGAGGGTAACGCTGCCGCCTGTTCTGCGCAGGGGCCGGCGCCAGCACCGGGTCCCCCTTGCACGCGTGGAGGGCCAGAGCCGAGGAGCTGACGCCCCTGCGGTGAGTCCCCCAAATCAGGGAGGGGGCCGGACGCTGCCCCACCGGCATCAGTGAGGGGAGGCTGCTGGCACCCATGGGGGCCCATGGGGGCCCGGCGCTGACCCCCCCATCCCCTCGGTGTGTGTTTTGCAGCCAGTATTTGCCCAGCCGGCGGCGATGCTATGACCTGGATGGGAGGAGGCGTGCGTGAGTGCCCGCAGGGGCACCGGGGGCCGAAGCCCAGCCCCAGCGTGTCCCCCCCAGCCCTCCGTCGTGCCGCCCGCCCCGGCTTTGCTGCCCCCGGCCCCGCGCTCCGCGGGGTGACCGTCACCCCGGCGTCAGGGCACGCCGTGGGGGTGACCGCTGCCACTTGCGCGTAATTGCCCGCTGATTGAGGATAAATAAAGTCTTTGTTTGGGGTGAGGACAAGAACCACTTGGGGCTGAACGCTGGCTGGCGCCGGGCAGCTCGGTGGCAGTGGCAACGGGCTGGGACGAGGACAGGCTCGTGCCCACGTGCCACGGCCAACGCCATCGGGGACACCGGGGGAGGGACAATGCGCCTTGTCCCTGCTCCCACGCGCACAGCATCCTTCAGTTGGCAGAGCGGGATGCAGCTCTTGTGGCATCACCCCGCCAGGTGACCTGGCCGGGGGCCGCGGGGGGACCACGGTGGTCCCTAGCAGGGGTGCAGGGGGACAGGCTGAGCCTGTCCCCAACACCGGGGTGGCTGCGGGCAGGCGGGAGCCGCGCTGGTGTTTACTGTCAGCAAAGGCAAAGTGCTGCGGGATTTACGGTGCACACAGGGCGGCCGCGGGGCGTGGGGCTCGGCCCCCGCTTTATAGGGCCGGAGCCTGTGGGGCCATGGGTAGCGCAGGGGGGGGCCGCAGGTAGGCAGGGGATGGGGACAGGGACATGTCTAGCACCTGGGGTCTGGCTGGCCGGGGACGTGCTGTCCCTGTCCCTGTCTCTGTCCCTGTCCCTGTCCCAGTCCAAGGGGCAGTGCTCGGTGCTGGGGTCAGGATTGTGCTGGTGGCAGGGTGGTGGGGGCAGAGTGTGGCCATGAACCCTGCCCTCAGCCTGGCCCCGGTGATGTCCCCAGACTGTCACCCTGCCCCGGGAGCTGGGCTGCGGGGATGTGAGGGGCCGGAGCTGGGCACCGGCAGGGCGGGGGGTGAGGGAGGGACACATCCAGCAAACCCCAGCTGGGTCTGGGATGGGGCAATGGGTGGGGGACACGTCCAGCGAGTCCCAGCTGGGTCTGGGGTGGGGGTGATGGGGGGAGACACCTCCAACAGACCCCGGGGGTCCGGGCCAGGGCAGGGACCAGCTAACGCAGCGGTGGCTCCGCTTGCAGCTCTGTCAGAGACCGATGTGGACCTGGAGGCGGCAGGGAGCAGGAGGCCCGTGTCCCGGCGGGACACCCATGAGGTGGGTGCTGCCTCAGGACCCCCCATTCCCTTCCCATTCCCGGGGGTGGGCAGGCCGTGGCCACCCACGGACCAACCCCACACCAGCCCCTGGGGACACCGGGGCACGGGGGGAGCTGGCACAGGCGGCAGCA